GTTACACCAAAGTGTAACATTTACCCTAAACCTTATAGTCAAAGTGTAACTCTTTTTACTCAAGAGTAGAACTATCCAAACATTACGATTTTATGACTTGGCCTGTCTTGCCTCTCCAAGGAGCAACTGATGCAACCCACTCCTTGATACTATTTCTGTTGCTGACCAGTCAACCTTACTATGGCAATTATCAGCCATATCAGTAGATTTATAAAGATCAATAGTTTACAGATTTCTGGATTGCTCCTTGAATTAAAAATTTAGAATAAACCCTCTAGCTGGTCCTCCAAAGATTAAGGTAAACCCTTTACAAATTACTTGAATGAAAAGGGAATAATATTATTTGAGAAAATGAATAATACAAAATTGTAAGCACCAGTATAATATATAGACTAGAGTAAATAATTGCTAATTGATTCTTTTCCTGAAAGAAAACAATCTACAGTAAGTAACTACTAAACTATCCTGCCAAAAGAATTCGATGGTCATTTTAGTTCTCAAAAGTGTAAACTGGTGGCAATTTAGTTCTTGAAAGAATGATAACTATATAAGTTAATGTCAAATTTTTCTTAAAAATAAAATCCATCCAATACCCATCGTTACAAAAAAAATTGGTCTTAAAAAAATACAATCTAGTATCAAATTGGTCCTTAAACATTACAATTTAATGACAAAATGATCTCACGAAACTAACAATTATCACTCTTTTTACACATTCAAGACTAAATAAAATTTTGAATTCTTTTATCGATTAAATTCACAATAGTTTATACTTTTAGGGACCGAAATGATCATTTATCCAAAAGAATAATTTACACTCTTTACAAACAGAGAACGTGTGATTGTTGTCACGCTATGGTTGCCACTAAATTAAATTAATCCTTCAAATATTAACATGTCATCACATTAGTCCTCTATTGATTTTTATCAGATTAGTCCTCAAAATGTCTAATATTTCATCATATTCATCCTCGTAGAAGACTAAAGTGGTGACACAAAGAGACAATATGGAAACTATTTTGTATCTTTGAGGACTTATATCATAACAGATTATTTTGGGGGATTAATGTGGTGATACACTAGTTTCTAAGGGACTAATTTGATGACAAATCGTTGGAGGGTTAATGTGATGACACCCATTTCTTTGGAGGACCGTGATGATGGTTTAAAATTTCACATTTTGATATGAAGTTTAATTGATCTTTAATAAGTAACCTTGTGTCATTCAAAGGCCAAATTTGATTTTCAGGAAAAAGGCACGGAGAAGATATTATATGGAATTGATGACATTAGTCAAGTATCTGAAATCATCATTGTAAATTTTGTTCCCTTGCTTTTCCCATCCTTATCTTCTTTGGTTTGACAATTCCCAACTGAAAGCTTAAAAAAGAAAGAATTGAAGATATTCTTACAGTCCAATGATAATAACAGGTTGAAGGGGAAATTGATAAGCTTTCACTTGAGGAGGCTGGCTTTCGGAATTGTGTTAGTGTTCCAGTGGGTGCACCAGTAAAGGTTTCTTTGAAAGATTTGCCACCAACAGAGAAGGTTTGTGCTAGTGCTATTATTAAAATTTGTCTTCACTTATCTTTTAAGGCATAGTGAATAATATTCAATGTTATATGCCTTAATAATGCAAACATTCGTAATACTTTCTTCTTCTTTTTCTTCTTCATCAAAATCTACCTATCTTTCTTTGAATCTGTCTATCTAATGAAATAGATTAGATGTGATCTTAAGTTCCAAATGAAATGTGATTGGCCCCTCTGTAGTTTTGTCCATGTGTTCATTTATCATAATTATTGTCTGAAATAAGTTATGTTGCGATCTACCCTTTCACGATAATTTCAAATACCTAGACTAATTTGCTCATCTAATTTTTCATTTTTATTCTGATTGTGGTACAAGTTTTTGTGGTTGTTATTCGACTGTGGTACTTGAAAATGTAAATAACAAAGAGTCAGTGTACAAATCATTTAGTGATATAAATTCTAATTGTTTCAAATGAGACCATTTTCTTTCTAAGAAATTTTATTAGTTATTATTGGAAATCTTACATTGACTAGAGATATGTCTAACAAATAATATAATTCATGTGCAGACCTCACCTTATTAAGCGGTTTTGTTTGTAAGATTGAGTTAGACAACTCTCTATTTCTAATATGGTATCATATCTTATCCTAGCGAGATTTGTTAGCCTATTACTCCATTTGTTATTAGTTCATCTTTAATATCGAGTTCCACACTCAAGATATTCATTACTCAGCGTGAAGGGATGTGTTGGAGATCATACATTGACTAAAGATATGACTAATTAATAATATATAATTCAGGTGCATTATAGGGTTAGACACCTCTAAATTTCTTAAGTTATAATCCCTAATTTTGAAAAGAAGAATCTATCTGAACAATTTTTGCTTTTTCCTATTAACTACTATCATAAAAAATTGCATTTTGTGGCAAAATTGTCCAACTATATGGGACTTAGTCTCTGAAGATCTGTTTTACTGACGTGTATGAATTATGTCATGTCGACTCTTCCTTTTATTTTGTATTTTTTTAATGATGGACCATGATCACACAAATTTTGTGAGATTAACATGAGAGCGAAAAATAAAATTTCCATCCATTCATTCTTTTTCTGCCTTAAGAACTGATCCATGGTTTTCTTTCTACATCCTCATAAAGTGTGTTTCAATAAATTAATTGATCTCTTTAATATATTAATCTGTGCATGCTTGTCTTTATGAAGTCAGGACACTGCATTTCAATATCTCTGGAACTGCAAAGAGTACTTGGATAGGGTACACATTTGGTATCTTCCCATTAAGTTGGATCTTTCTAGCTCAAAGGTGAACTTCTTAGTAGTTTGGTTTCCTCTGTTTTCTTGTAGGCAGTTCGCATTGTCCTGGCAACTGATAATGATCTGCCAGGTCAAGCTTTAGCGGAAGAGTTGGCACGGCGCCTTGGCCGAGAAAGGTTATATATCCTGTCATTTATTTTCCATGCTATTGTGTATAAATACCAAAAACAAAAAGTAAAACTTGAGACTTGGTTGTGCACATGGCATGTTGCATGAATAGTTTGGATGTAAACCCTGAAGCTCAGTGATCAAGGTTCAAGACACATTCTTGGTACCTCAACCATTTAATGCATTAGGTTTTAAATTTCATGCACGCAAAGGGGGTCCTTATCCTACTAAATAAATCAAAAAGCTTACCAAATCTGGCTCTCTAATAATGGTTCAGAAAGTTTATTGGATCTGAGGATAGGTTAAGTTATACATTCTGTTTTTTTGCCAGCACTTTAGGCTTGGTGAAATAATAAATATTCACTTCTGCTTTACTTTTCAATTGGATCATGTACTTTGAATTTTGCTTCCTTTTTTGGTTGACATCAGGTGTTGGCGTGTACTCTGGCCAAAGAAAGATGAACTCAGCTCTTTCAAAGATGCAAATGAGGTATAACTCTGGATTTCCTATATCACCAACATTTTATTCAGTTCACTAGTGGCTTGTGGAGTTTCTAACAAAAATGAACTTTTCAAGGCCCAATAAGAGGAGAAAAATGTTAATTACACAATCTCTTAGACACTTCTTGAAGACACTCTTTATTATTGTTAATATTAATGTTTTATAGGTCTGAGTTCTTGTTTAATGAACTCCATTTATGACTTGATAGGTTTTAACAACTTATAGCAAAGAGAGTGGATTAGAAAAAGTGTGTTGTTTGTATTGCCAACATGATTTGTATTTTCACCTTTGAAATGCAGTATATGTATATACCTTCAGGATAATTATTCATCCATGGTTTATGACCCTAGGTTCTCCAATACATGGGAGCTGATGCGTTGAAGAAAATAGTTGACAATGCAGAGCCATATACAAATGCCATCTAGGTAATTCCATCTATACAAGAATGGATATAGATTTCGGTGCTCAAGATCCTGGACTACTACTAAAATTTAGTCATACCAGAAAATGTAATGGAAATTGTAGTATGACCATATTCATATTATTTCTCATTGAATTGGTATCGAGATAATCTCATTTATATTGTAACTAAATTTTAGTTAGTTGTGTAGTATCAGGATTTTTAAAAGTGTGAACAGGTGAGTGTATTTTTTTTTTTTTTTTAAAAGAACTATCTGGACAAGTTTATACATACATACATACATATATATATATATATATATATATATATATATATATATATATATATATATTGAAGAAATAAAAATGAAAAAAATAAAAAAATTAATTTGATTTTTTTTCATAAGTTAAAATTGTATATGTAAGTTAATTAGAAAAACAAAAAAAGTAATGAAAGGGTTATAATAATTCTGATATATTTTAACTAACTCTGATTATGAGATTTATATTAAAATATTATATTTTATTTTTTAAATCAATTTTTGCTGGAGATGTTTTAAGAAATTTTCATTGGAACTGTTCTAAGATTTTGCATTATTATGCAGCATGTTGTTGACCTTCTGTTTAGAGACAATTGAGAAAGAGTTAAGTTTTCACTCAACTATATCATAATGTTAAAATGAATAGCTCCTGGTATTTGTTCATCAAAATTAACCGTTTCAATTAACTCACTGACCGTTTACTTTTTTCTATTCAAATGCATAAGCAACTAACGAGTATAATATAATATTATAATAAAAACATAATTAAAAAAACAAATTACATAGACAAAAAAAAAATTACTCGATCCATGCATTTTAAAAATTGCCCGATTTCTGCTTCAAATATTCGGACCAAAAGCAGGCCCACCCACCTTTGAGAAAAGGATTACTTATCGGGTCGGGTGAAACATAATGGCCCAATATTTTCAATTTCAAACTCGCAGTCTGAAACGCAACCAAGTTGTTGATATCACACTCTTTGACTGTCTCTAACGGCGCAAAATTCGACCGTTGCAATTTACAAATCTGCTGCTTCTTCTCTTTCACCTCTTCTTCCAAATTCAAACGTTTTTCTTTGAATTTTACGATGCGCAAGTCCAGAAAACCAGAATCTTCCGACGTCGTTTCGTCGGATCGAAGAAATTGGAGCAATATCTTCAAATCTCTGGTTCAGATGCTGCGCAGCCAGCAGAACCAGCTTCAATCGTTGGCGAACCGGCACAATTTTCTCGAAGACCGACTTCGACTGCAGCACCAAGGGTGGGTCTCCGATGTTCGCTTTCACAAGGATAAAGTTTCTCAGGTAATTAGTCTTTTAGGGTTCCACTAAATTTAAAAAAAAAAAAAAACTTATTTTATATTTTTTATTGCCACTGTTTGTTTAGCTGAACGAGATTTTGGCTTTTGAGGAGAAGAAACGGTCGCTGGAGGCGGCGAAGGCGGATTTGGCGCTGGGTTTGAAGCACAGAGAGGCTGCTATGTTAAAATGGATTTTGGGTCAGTGAATTTTCTTTGATTTCTTGTTAGAAGTTTTTATGTTGTGCTAGTTCTAGGGAAAATATATTTGGTTTTGGTTCTTGGAGTTAGTTTTTTTACTTTGCTGTTTTGTTCCATAATGTTTGCCTTCAAGGAGCAAAAAGTTGTGGGGGACGCTAGAGATTAATAACATCGGTGTATGATATGATTGTTTGGGAAAATAGTTTTTTTTTTTTTTTTTCTTTTGGGTCAAAATATCTTTCATGAAGTTTTTCATTTGAAAGATAATCCAAAGCAAGTATTGCAGAAACGTAATGTACTTACTTTGACCTCAGACTGGAATTATTCGCATAGGAGCAGGGTTAAGTTAATAAGTTTTTGAATGTGAACAAGTTTATATGATCTGTGATAGGAAAAAATGGCTTGTAAGGTGCATTTCTACTGTCAATCTTGGGAAGGTCCTGGGTTTAACATAACTTTACATGATATATGAATGTAATAGTTGTCTTACATAGTTAAATAACAAGATTGGCTGACCCATCTTGAAAGTTCCTGGTCCTGGATATGATGCATCACTCGTAGCATGCTACATATATTTTTCTTCTTCTTTTGGTTAAGATACTTTAAATTATTAATTAACATCTTCAATTTTTTGTAACTAAAGGGAAATTTTTGTTATTTGTTGAAATAATAGGGGTTTGAATGAATTTTCCTTTGAATTTGTTCTAACTGCATTAATTTATCTTTTGATTACAGAGCATACAGAGGATGAGTTGGGTGATTTTAAAGCATGGTTTGAAATTCTCTCTCGAAAATTTGTTATTGGGGAAGTATGTAATCTGTTAGTCAGCCTGGCATAATTGTTGAGTTTTCTAATGTTTCTATGCATTATATTATGCTGAACAGTAACTGTAACAGGACCAAGGAACAGCATCCAAAGATAATGATATGAAGAAGAAAGGAACCACAGATAGAGGAAACAAGTCCGGTCGGAATACTGCAGAAAAAGAGAACTATTCCCACGAAATCAATGATGAATTTAGAAGGTTAAAAGGTGAATATGATAAGCTTTCTTTACAAAAATATTCGGAGGTGTCTGAACTCTTAGCAGAAAAGAAATTTGTGTGGAATCAGTATAATATAATGGAGAATGACTACAGTGCTAAATTAAAGACTAAAGAAGCTGAAGTAGAAAAAGCAAATGAAAGGATCAAGGTACTTGTTTCCAGCATGGAGCAGCTACAGTCTGAAAATTATGAAAAAGAGAGTAAAATTAACGAATTAGAAAGTAAAATGGCTGATATGGAGGCCGAGACAAAAAGATTAAACAAAGAAATATCTGGACTCTCAGTGGAGTTGGAATCTTTAAGAAAATTCAAAAACAGCCATGTTACGCCTGTTTTAAATCATTGCACGGGTGGAACGAAAGCATCTGGATCGGGAGTTGTTAAGGGCAACAATAGTAGAAGTATGATTTTGAAGAAGGAAATATCTACTCCCAATCAACCGACAGCAAAATCTTCTGAAAGGGTATGGCATCTTCCCATGTACTCTTGTTAATTTTGTCTGCATTTTCATTCATGCGCTTTATTTATAATTGAGAAAAATAACGCTTTGTTTCATTGTTTTCGCTTCCTTAATTTTAAATGTCCAGGGGAAAAAAAGCATGAAGAGGAAAGAGCCTCCAGTTATTCCCACCTTTGAGACTCCAAAGCTATTCTCCACCAGCTTCAAGGTTCCAAAACTGAAGTCCTCTGTAAGGGTCAGAGATGACAGATGACACCTTTCAAAGATAATGTCAGTGTCTTGTATATGACCTTTGTATTATATGCTCTGTATGTTGTAGTAAACTATGTATGAGCTTTTAGTTATTGCCCTTCTAATGAGAACATTCGGTGTAAGTTGGAATACATATTCCACTTTTTAGATAAATTATAAGTTAAAGTCTGTTATTCTTATTGTCATTCTAATGAAATAGATTTAGTAAACATGTTAATAAAAAATTTATAATAAGAGGTTATCTGCTATTCATATGTATCTTTTCTCTCCATTTGGATTATTATTTACAAACTCGCATTCAAACACTGGTGGAGTCTCTAACTTGTAAGTAGGAGATTGATACAGTGGTGGATTATTATTTCGCACGGTGGGAGATATGAATGAATATCCCACCCTTCCTCCACCAAAACAAACTAACAAAAATCACCTTTGATGATGACACATGATGATACAGAACATCAAAGGGGTGTGTCAGCAACTGGAAGAGAAAAAAGGAATAATATCGAAGAAGAAAAAAGGATAAATTTTCATAGTAATAAAAATGAACAAGTTAATTAATTATGGTCATAAATAATGATGGTGCGATAGACCTTTTTGTATAGAATGTTCACCATACCTTTCATCCTTTCATGATACGTAGTTTTATGTACTATTTTGACAACTAGAAAAAATATATTCCAATCATCTTAAACTACCCTTTTATATTTATATTTCTTAATCATTTCTTCATTTTTATTTATAATTAAGTTTATATTACAAATTTATGGTGAATTTTAATGATAATAAAATAATGGATTTAAAAGTACTTGTTAATTATAAACCTATAACTATATACATGTTTATTTTGCGCGCAAGACACAAATTAAAATATTAGTAGGCTTATATTTCAAAATTTTCTTTCACAGTCGTTTTTAGTATATTGATTACTTTTATTCTTTTGAAATGTAAAAATCTCTCCATACAAGTGCATAAGTTATTGCGTGAGTATGTTAACAAATTTAAATATCAGAAGATGTTTAGAGAGTGGATCTATAGTAAAAAGACATCTTGATAAATTTATATAAATATAAGCGAACAATCAAATATAAATTTAATTAGAATATTGTGAACGTTTATCACAGCGTTAATGTAATATAATTATAAAACTATTATTTCTTGTAATATTTTTATGTAATAATATGCCAAAATTCAACTCATCTAACACTATTATAAAAAAAGCAATGAATTTAAGTAAAATAATAATATATTATTTTCAAAATCTATAATATCTAATTACAATACACAAATTTAGATCCTTTTTAACTATTTCTATCTTCCGTATTAATTTCAATTATTAATTTTATATAGAATGATTATTAAAACTAAAAATATTTAAAATTAAAACAAATCATTATAAAAAATTAATATAACGTTCAAAAGACGAAAAGGAAAACAATTCAAATTCAGGATGACTTGACACTACATTACTATTTAAATATAACTTACACATTTCAACTCACAATGATTACCAGAACCGTGTTATAAGTCAAATTTTATCCATTTTAAATAACAAATTAGTGTAAAATATTTTGTACAAATTAACTATTTTTTTATTACAAATAAATAAAATAAAATAATCTGGTTTAAACCCATTGGTTAGAACACTACACCACGCGGGCACACACACTTGGTGCGCACTCTCTGCCTCTTAAAACCAAAACCCTCTCCGCTTTGTCACTGCTACTCTCCCTTTGGTAGAAGACTATGAAACCCTGTTAGGGAAACACACAAAAACAAACACTCTCTGCAACAAGTGAACAAGAAGCATGTACCTTCGTTATCCCCACAGTCTACGTCCCCTGTTTTTCTTTTCAAAACTCACCACCATGACCCCTCAAACCCTCTTCCACTCTTCTCCATTCCCAACCTTCAAAAACACTCTTTTTCCTCGAAGACACCGTTTTCCCCCTCATAGACCCTTCTTCACCGTGTTCTGTTCCAAACCCACTGCAAGGAACCCTCCATCGCCACTCAGAACTAACGGCTACCACGGGGCCTCTCATGCCAATGTCCCTGGACCAGGTGAGGTGCCCTTTTTTGTTGGGGACAGGACAGCCTTAAATGTGTTTCTAGGTGCTAACTTTTGTGTTATTGGTTTGGTTTTTGGAAGTTCAATTCGAGAGCCCCGAGGCGAAGAGTGTGGAGTTGCGGTTCAGTATTTTGAAGAAGAGGTTGGAGGCTGTTGGGATGGAATCTGGAATATGTTTGCCGGGGCAGTACAATCACTTGCTTTGTCCAAAGGTGTCTCTTACTTTTTTTCAAAGTTGAATACTTTTTGAGCTGTTGAAGGTTTTTAATCATGACTTGCCAACTGTGATGTTTTAACGCTTTGGAATGGTATGCAGTTTTGTTAGACATTGTCCCCAAATTGCTGTTTCACTTGATACTTGGGAAATTTGTGTCTGTTATTAATCATGTTTGTTTCAGGTGTGAAGTTGTGTAAAATTTTTCTTTCTGGTAGTTTGGCAGAAATTGATTATTTGAAGTGGCAACTTTATTTTGGGTCGAGGGAGGTGATAACGCTGTTACAAATTAGAATCCTCAAAATAGTGAATTGAAGATTGTTTGTTATGTACTTCAAACCGATGCATTTTTCCATTTTCTCTGGGATAGTTGGACTCTGCAGTGAAAATAGTTCATTCTCTTTGCATAGATCCCATTTTATACGTCACAATAGGATTTGAACATTTTTATTTGTATTAAGTTTTGTATTTGTGTGTCGTTTAATGTTTTTTTTTTGTTAGTGCCAAGGTGGTGACAAGGCAGAAAGGAGCTTATCCCTTTACATTTCACCAGACGGGTATGATATTTATACTTTTTTCAATAAACTTAGATAATTCTCTTTCTTAGCAGACTGTACACCTACTTCGTTTTAATTTTGAAAATTTTTGAGTTTTAGGGGATCTGCTGCATGGGTGTGTTTTCGCGGAACGTGTGGGTGGAAAGGCAGCACACAGGTTAGATAATTTTCATTTTCAAACAGGTAAGGTCCTGATTAACACAGGAAGATGTGGTATTTGGTTCATTTTCTTCCTTCTGCTTTAGGCCTTTTCTGGTAGCAGTTCTGCAGCCAGTAAAGTAACCCCAGTTAAAAAGAAAAGAGAGATTACAGAGGAGGAATTACAACTAGAACCACTTTGTGATGAGGTAACTAAATTTTACCCTTAACTAATCTTGTCCTGCACTTCATGAATTTTGGATGTGCTATTGTAGTGGGGCAAATATTGCTCATGGCAACATCCTGTCCTCCATTGCTTAGTGAATGTTTGGGCACCATCTATAATCAAATTTACATGACACATATTTCAATATTAAATGTGCTGTTAAGATGTTTGGCCACTCCTCCCAATACCATTAACTGGTTCAAGATAAAAACTATAAAGATCATTTCTACCAAACTTTAAAATAAACGGGCACTTATAGTGTCTTCTTTCTTTTGCCTACTGTTCTAGAAAAAAGCCTAGGATTAAGTTTCCAAACATCCCCTAGAAAACTCTTTATCTGTTACTTGTCACTTATTGTGGCTTGGATCTGTACATAAAGGTCTTCCTGAAATCCCGCGATTTCCTGATATCGTGGTGTGCGTGAGTTGACTGTTCCCCCCTGGTGGGTTGAGGGTTGAGTCCTGTCTTCTACTTGGTACCTGCGTAGTTATTGGTGTATTCTTCGGATATTCTTTGGGTACACGGTGATTGCGGGTCTCAAACCTAAGTGATAAGTCACCTAATAATAGTAGTTGGTCACATGACTGACACATGGTGTCAGTCACATGGCCGTTATGTGATATAACACCACACCTACTAATAGATATGTCTCAACTTTTTTTGTTTTTGTTTTGGCAAGCAATTAAAATTGATTGCTAGTGTCTAATTGGCTTTGTTTGTACTCTCCTACTCTGCACTCAATATATTTATTCTTTATGTCTTGGCAGCCGAAAAATTGTTTGCCGTGATTGTTACTCATATCTGCATTTAGTTATTGGCTTGTGGTCTAGTTATTCTAGATATGCATGGAACTAAACTTGTTTTTATTAAAAGTAAGATAGACAAAGTGGTAGCTGTTTCTCACAATAAACAGAAATACAAACAAGCCTTTAGAAATTAGAATCAAAATTTATGTTTATCTTTATTCGTTTGTTTTATGCTTGTCATATAGTTTTTCGATTGTATCGATGATGGTTTTTTGTTCAGTATGTGGTGAATGTGACTTTTTTTTCCCTGTTTCAGCTGCTTGCATATTTTTCAGAGCGCTTGATTTCAAAAAAGACTTTGGAGAGAAATGCTGTGAAGCAGAGAAAATATGAAGATCAGGTGCAATTCACCTCTAAATTATGTATATGTGTCTTCCATGTATTGCTAGTTCCTCTTCGTTAACATTCCTTATGATTGTCTGGTTTCTTTGGCTGAGAGAAATCCTAGAGTAAACATCTGAAGTTGGTTAAGGTTTTATTAACCAGAAAATGACCCCCTTGATGTGACTTTAAATTTGATATGACTTATGAAGGCTGTCTTAAGAAAGACATAATTTTCTATTAATATTACCTTGAAAAATATGTTTTACATACCAATTAATTAGAAAAGGATTGCAATTGACTTTTACATGACGAAGTGATACCTTCAAAGTTCAACTATTTCCAAGGGATTATATATGAACATTTACTTTTTTAATGTAGCTAGTGTTCTATTTTTCACCCTTTTTGTTTTACAGGTAATTGACCTGTTACTAATTGTTTCTGTAAAATGTGTATGTTTGATAGATTGTGATTGCTTTCACGTATCGTCGAAATGGAACACTTATTAGTTGCAAGTATCGAGATGTCAACAAGTTGTTTTGGCAGGTATATCAATTACTGATGCTGTACATATTTAGATTGACTATTAAAATTGATATGCTGGGATTTAATTAGTATTTAAAATTAAAACAACTGTGATGGAAAACATCTGTCATATTTTGATGAGCATAATTAAATAGAATCTCCCACTAATAATGTGATAATGCAAGTACTTTTGTTTAGATTATTGTTTTGGTGCCTTTTAGTTGTGGGTATGTGCACTTAGCTCGTACTCTTGCCACCTTTTAATCTCAATTTATGTATATAGGTGTATTTGGTAAAACTAGCTTATAACCTGGCTGAAGGTTATAAGTCAGGAGCTGAAAAACTGGATGCTTATAATTAGATTATGCTGGGAGATATTTTTTCATATTATCTTAAATCTAACATGATTTTGTAAGTTGCCAAATTTTGTTTCTATGCTAATTTATTTATCTGATTTTATGGCCTTACTTCTTTCCAGTTTCCCTTAATATCCTCTTATTTCAGGAAGCAAATACTGAAAAGATCTTTTATGGATTGGATGACATAGTTGGACAAAGTGATATAATCATTGTATGTATTCTGCTGTGTAGAAATTATTTAAAGTTAAAGTTTTACTTTATGCTTAGCATATTGATTTAACAATGTAGGTTGAAGGTGAAATGGACAAGCTGGCAATGGAAGAAGCTGGCTTCTTCAATTGTGTCAGTGTTCCTGATGGGGCACCTCCATCAGTATCCTCAAAGGACTTGCCTTCTCCAGAAGAGGTCTTTTTAAATTCTTAACATACTACGTTATTATGTGTGTGTATGTTTGTAATTTTTCATTTTCTTCTCTGTTGTCAGTCTTTACTATGGTCCAATAATATTTGAATCTAATGGTCTTGTATATCTCTAATTCTGTAAAGCTAGGACAAAAAGTATCAGTATCTCTGGAACTGTAAAGATGAACTAAAAAAGGTTTGTTAAATTTTATTATTTCTTACTTTTGAATGTGCTGAACGACATCACTTTCATAAAATTTATTTGTTTTCTCAATGTTTATGTTGATAGGCAACCCGGGTTATACTTGCCACTGATGGGGATCCACCTGGTCAAGCTTTGGCTGAGGAGCTTGCACGCCGCATTGGGAAAGAAAAGTTAGATATGTTTGGTCTTGATTTTACTACTTACATAAATTATCATAATCATTGATCTATTTAAGAAAGTCTTGAGAGAAGTTATGCTTTCAATTAGCGGATGATAACAATATTTTGGTAGTAGTTTCATTTTAGTTTATATGGGCCATGTATTCATTGTATTTGGGTTTTTAATTTTCAAGTAAGAAGTGCTAAACTGTATAGATAAGTTATTTTTGAGTTGCTTTAAAGAGTAGCTTGTTAAGATAAATGGTGTCTCTGTAAATCCTTTTTTGTGATGTTGATATTGCTGTTGTTTCAAAATCTTCATGGTTAGACAAGGCAGAATGGCTTATTTCACTGTTCTATGCATTTAGCTTATTCATTATTTTTATTTGTTGATATAATGGGAGGATTTTTTCCACTTTCCATGCTTGTTTCACATTTTTAATCTTTCTCTCTTCAATGGCTGCAGATGCTGGCGAGTCAGGTGGCCTAAAAAGGGGAAATTAGACAATTGCAAAGATGCAAATGAGGTTAGATACAATTTGCATGCTCAAGTTCCCCTACGCCTGTACCCTTCCTCTCATCCCTGTCCCCTAAGTGATGAAATCCCAACATATTTAAAGAAATAATGCTTTTGTAACTTTTCCCCATTGTTTGGATTCAGTGAACAATTTAGGACTGCAGACTCTAATTATACATTTTTCTGTCTGGTGTATGATATTCGTGTTTGTCTAGCGTGCATGGTATTATTGACATGCATGTCTGGATTAGCTTATTTTAGAGAAACATTTTCTTTATTTTTTTTCTGGGAAAACATCTTGAAACGGCAGAGATTATTTGCTATTATGTGTTTCCGAATACCAATATAATTTTCCCACTTGTCTGGTTTGTGTATCTCATCTGTCATGCGAGTCATTTAAAGTTGTTTGTATGTAATTGTGCTCTTTGCTAACTGTAGCAACCTTACGACATATTCACAGGTTCTCATGTATTTGGGCCCCGATGCACTCAAGGAAGTGATTGAGAATGCAGAATTATATCCAATTCGTGGATTGTTTAACTTCAGAGATTACTTTGATGAGATTGATGCATATTACCATCGAACCTTAGAATATGAAATTGGTGTCCCAACTGGGTGGAGTAATCTGAATGACTTGTACAACGTAAGGGCAGTTATTCCTATATTTTCTTAGTGTGATAAACATTGTTTTATACATTTTTTTTTTCTGTCTACTTTATATATTTAAACTTACATGTTGAATATAGGGAAAAACTGTATAGGGTTAATTTCCCTTATGTATTTACCACACATAGGGCAGTGTATTTATAATAAAGAAAGGTACACCTCAAAAGAGTAACAGAATACAAATAGAGTAAATAAAAAGATATTATTTGATATTGTGATTAACAATATCTCAACAATATCAAACAATATCAACTAATATCTAATCATATCTAACACTCCCCCTCAAGCTGGAGCATACAAATCGTATGTGCCAAGCTTGGTACAAAGATAATCCATCCTAGGTCCCCGTAAAGACTTAGTGAAAATATCTGCTAATTGATCACATGAGTTAACGAACTCAGTCTTGATGTCTCCAGACATAATCTTTTCCCGAATAAAATGGCAGTCAATCTCAATGTGTTTAGTCCTCTCATGAAAGACATGATTAGAGCTTATATGGAGAGCAGCCTGATTGTCACACACTAGTGTCATTTGAGTGACATCTCCAAATTGTAGCTCTTTAAGCAATTGCTTGAGCCAAATAAGTTCACAGGTAGCCGAGGCCATAGCTCTATACTCGCTTCGCACTGGATCTTGCCACAACACTTTGTTTCTTACTTTTCCATGAGATCAAGTTACCACCAATGGAAACACAATACCCGGATGTAGATCTTCTATCGAGAGGAGATCCTGCCTAATCAGCATCCGAATAGCAGACAACTCTTGTATGATTATGGGAGTCATACACCAAACCTTTTCCAGGAGACTTTTTGATGTACTTCAATATACGGATGACCGCATTACAATGATCTTGACAAGGAGAATTGAGGAATTGACTCACCACACTGACTCGCAAAGGAAATGTCAGGGCAAGTAACTGTAAGATAATTTAATTTTCCAACTAATCTTCTATACTTGTTGAGGATCCGACATTGGCTCCCCCTGATTTGGCAAGAGTTTGGTATTAGGATCCATGGGTGTGTCAACAGGCTTTGAATTCATCAACCCAGCTTCCTCCAAAATATCCAATGCATACTTTCTTTGAGATATAACAATGCCATCTGTAGATTGTGCTACCTCAATACCCAAGAAATATCCGAGTTTGCCAAGATCTTTGGTTTGAAAATGGTGGCAAAGGTGTTGTTTCATCCGAGAGATGCCATGATGGTCACTACCTGTAAGAACAATGTCATCGACATACACTATCAAATAGATACATCCGAGCATTCGAGTGATCGGTAAAAGACCGAGTGGTCTCGCCTCACTTCTAGTCATGCCAAATTGTTGAACAACGCTGCTAAATTTTCCAAACCAGGCCCTAGGAGACTGTTTTAGGCCATATAAAGATTTGCGAAGACGACATACCAATCCGGAAGACTCCCCCGAGCAACAAATCCGGAGGTTGCTCCATATAAATCTCTTCTTGCAAATCGCCATTCAAGAAAGCATTTTTGACATCCGAGTTGATAAAGAGGCCATTGTTGAATAGCGACCATGGCAATGAATAAACGAACGAAGCCATCTTTGCCACTCGGAGAGAAAGTATCACCATAATCCAACCCAAAAATTTGGGTATAGCCTTTGGCTACAAGGCGAGCTTTGAGGCGATCAATAGTACCATCAGGACCAACCTTGATAGCGAAGACCTACCGCAACCAACAACAGATTTTCCGAGATGGTAATGGGACAAGCGTCCAGTGTTCCACTAGTCCGAAGAGCACCGAGTTCATCTAGCATGGCCTGACGCCAACCAGGGTGGGCTAAGGCTTCGAGAGACGATTTAGGAATAGACACAGAAGAAATAGACGAGAGACAGGTATAAAATGGTGAAGAAATTCGATGATAACTTAAAGCAAGATAATGTGGAGAAGGATTACGAGTAGAACGCGTACCTTTACGAAGGGCAATAGGAAGGTCGGACTACGTGGACTGAACCGGAGGAGGCGAGTATTTGGCACCTGGGAGTGAGTCATGTGGCGTCTGTTGTGGGCGAGGTCTGCGACTATAAACCCGAAGGGGTGGTGGAGGGGCTAATGGTGGATGGTCCTCAACATAAGGATCAATGAGAACAGGAATGGGAACTGTAGTAGATGGAGACTCAGCAGGTAGGGAAGGGTCCTTAAAGTAAAAGGAAAACTCATTGAAGGTGACATCGACAGACACAAAATAGCGATTAAGAGAAGGAGAAAAACACTTGTATCCTTTTTGGGATCGAGTAAATCCTAAGAAAACACATTTGTGTGATCGAGGAGATAACTTATCATGACCAGGATCAAAATTGTGGACAAAACAGGTAGACCCAAAAACCTTCGAGAGGTAAAGGATGGAGAGTGTCATGAGGAAATAAAATAGAATGGGGAATTTTGTTATCTAAAACCGAAGAGGGCATACGATTAATAAGATAACGAAGTAAGAACAACGATCACCCCAAAAATGTTGAGGAACCTCACCATGAATTAAAAGAGTACGGGTTGTTTCAATAAGGTGTCTATTCTTGCGCTCGACCACCCCATTTTGTTGAGGGGTATAAGCACAGGAAGTTTGATGAAGAATGCCATGAGAAGCCATAAATTGTTTAAACGAGTTTGAAAGATATTCACGGCCATTATCACTTCGAAAAGTTTGAATAGAGACACCAAATTGATTTTTAATTTCATGATAAAAGTTTTGGAATATAGAAAACAACTCGAACGATTTTTCATTAAAAACAACCAAGTACAACGAGAGAAATCATCAATAAAAGTAACAAAATATTGAAAACCTAAATTAGACTTAACACGACTCGGGTCCCCAAATGTCGAGTGAACTAAGGCAAAGGGGGATGAAGCACGCTGGGAAACACTACGAGAAAAGGAAGTACGACTATGTTTGCCTAACCGACAGGACTCACACACCAAATTGGACAACTCGGGATAAGCTGGGAACAAGTTGCTCGTAATTTGCGCAGACCGGGGTGACCAAGCTGAGCATGAAGGAGAGAAGGAGACTCCATAACCGTGCCAACATGTGGAGAAGGTTTAAGATAATAAAGTCCATGTGACTCACATCCGGTGCCAATCACTCTTTGCGAGCTCCGGTTCGTAGGGAAACGAAGTTTTGGTAAAAGAGATAACACAATCAAGAGATCGAGTTAGACGGCTAATGGATAATAAGTTAAAGGGGGACCCGGTACATACAAAACATTATCAATGGACAACGAGGGAAAAAGAGTAATCGTTCCAACACCATGAGCTAAAGTTGTAGACCCATTAGCCATTGTAACAAAGGTTAAATTATGAGAAGAAGTGAAAGAGGAAAATAAGGATTTGTTACCGAGTGATGTGATCGGTGGCGCCGAGTCAAGAACCCAAGGGCCAATAGAAGAAGAGTGAGTCGACCAAGAAAAGATGTACCTGTGTGGGCAACGAAGTAGTGGAACTGGAGGACTTTCGATCCTCATACCATTGAAGAAAATCATTGAAGATAGCAGATTTGTCTCGAAGGTACAGACGAAGGAGGATCCACAGCAGAGGATTGTGCGGAAGAATCGACTCGAGCAACTGCAGCAGATCGGCGAGGATAACCATGTAAAGCATAACATTTGTCAATTTTGTGGCCTAGTTTGCCACAATGGTCACACTTGACACGCCCTTTGCCCGGCTTGTGAGAGCGATTACGATCATCACTGTGAGAGGCCAAGGCGGATGAATCATTAGAAACTACAGGGGGAATATTGAGAGGTTTACATGGCACCCGCAAAAGGGAGGAACTGGTAGCGGTAAAACCGGGTGTAACAGGGGAACCCAAAATCTGGTCACGAACGAGGGCATATTTATCAGCAAGTCCGTGTAACAATATGTTCAACAACGTAAGGAGAATTCACTACGAATGCAACCTGTTCTAATGTGACTAGATGCATTCCCATGTAATAAAGAGAAGAAAATTTAAAATTCAAATTATGTAATAATATATTACTGAATATGTCCACACCAGATATAAGGGTCTGTTTATTGGAATTGACATACTAGATTTAATTTCAATTTCTATTATTTTAGAAATATAATCCCTTTAGAATATATGTCAGCTTCATACAATTTGATGGATTTGAGTTTTATCTTTTTTTTTTTTTTTTTTCTTATTAGTAAGTGGATTTATTGAATTGTTCAATGTATTTATGAGAAAAGGTACTTGAGAGATCTTGCTTCAGATGCATTTATATACACACACATACATACTTTTATATATATATATATATATATATATATATGTAAGTGTGTGTGTGTGTGTGTGGAGAGAGAGAAAAGGAAACAAAATAAAGTTCACCCATACCATAGGACTCTAGATGACAGATAGGTACAACAAAATCAGTTATTACAAAGCTGCTTAGAATATCATGTCAACTATTCTAACACTTTTCATCAAATGTTTTTTAACCAAAATATTTTATTCGGCACATGGTAATAATAAAACATTTTTTTTGTGTATGGAACTGGAGATCCTGATATTGTTCTATTAAATTACTTTTATCAGGTTGTACCAGGAGAACTGACCATAGTAACTGGAGTTCCTAATTCGGGGAAGAGTGAGTGGATTGATGCTCTTCTTTGCAATCTTAATGAAATTGCCGGCTGGAAATTTGCACTGTGTTCTATGGAGAACAAGGTTAGATTGTTTATTAGTTATTTTTGAAGTTATGTTTTTATTCACCAGAAGATGGTTGCATTTACTACTGAAACAAGAATGATGACTTTCTGGGTGTTGAAATTTAGATAAGCAATATTGGGTGAATAAAAATATTCTATTTGTCTCCAATCTCCAATATATTTCTTCATACTAACTATAGATAAAAGCTCTATTCCATTATGTGTGGTTGGCTATATTGATTAAATTTCAGAGATTCGGGAGTTGTGTTTTGCCAAAAACATCCTCATATTTCATATGAACTGTGGAATTGTTAAAATGTTTGGGAAAACATAATCTTTCAGAGTAGAAGTATAACCTATTGCTGGTTGGAGACAACCACAGTAATACGCAGGTGGAAATTTATCCACACTGGTTCCTTACGAAAGCCTCTTTTTTCATGTGTCAAGGGTATGTTAAATGCCACCTACTACAACTTTCTTTGACCTTGAAAAAAAGAGTAGTGATTATTAACAACATACACCCAACGTCCACCTGGCTTATGTGGTTAAACACGTGTAAATAGTTAACTTTGTGAGGGAAAGTAAACCACTATTATACATTTTGATAGCCTCATGACAGTATTAACCATATATTAATAGTTAATAATTAATAATCATATACAATCATGTTCGTTTACTCTTAACCAATTGTTACACATAGTTTACTATATTTATATATGTAATTAACCACATGAGACAATCAATGATATCAAGATACTACTAATCACTTGAAAGTTAACCACTGTTAGACTTTTCAATGTAAGCAATATTAAAAAAATTCCAATCATATTCACTTTCTCTTTGTTAGAATTATTATTAGTTAGTGGTTAGTGGTTAGTGGTTAGTGGTTAGTGGTTAGTGGTTAGTGGTTAGTGGTTAGTGGTTAGTGGTTAGTGGTTAGTGGTTAGTGGTTAGTAGTTAGTAGTTGATGGTTGGTGGTTGTTAGTAGTTAGTGGTTGTTGTTTTAAATGTTGTAATCCTATATATATATATGAGATCATAGAGTGGAGTAAGCATCCCACAAAATTAGAAATCTTCTTTTCATTCTCTTTACTCTCTTAACTTGGTATCAGAGCAGGTTGGTCCTGCTCTGCCTGTCTGGCCACCGTTCGGCCACCATCCGGCCACCGTCCGACCATTTTCCGGCCACCGTCCCGGTCATTTTCCGGCCACCGTCCAGCCATTTTCCGGTCACCGTCCGGCTATTTTCCGGTCACCGTCCGACCATTTTCCGGCCACCGTCAGACCATTTTCCGGCCACCGTCAGACCATTTTCCGGCCACCGTCCGGTCACTTTTCGGCAATCGTTAGTCCCCCGTCCAGTCACCTTTTTTTGCTGCTGTTCGACGACTTTTCTGACCACCTTCCAATACCTTCAGGCTATCTTGGGTGTTCTCTTTCTTACAGGTTCCATTGTCTCCATCTTACATCTACATTATTTAAAACATGTCGTCAGGGCCCACAACCTCCTTTTCCGGAACTCCCACGATAACGGCTGAGAAATTAAATGGAAAAAATTACATGTCTTGGTCCTCTTCAGTGGAACTTTGGTTCCTTGGACAAGGGTTTCACGATCATCTAGAAGAAGACTGAAGTAAGATACCAGAAGATCGAGCTCAACAATGGAAAAAGCTTGATTATCAACTCGTGCTCTCATCGTGGCAATCAGTAGAACCAAATATTTTGAACACTCTCGGATCCTTCAAAACATGTAACTCTTTTCGGAAAAAAGCTCGAATATCTTCGCAAATGATATCCAACGCCTCTATGATTCCGCTAATCGATTAGCCTCTCTCAAGCAAGTGGATAAAGATATGATGACCTTTATTGTCGAAGCTCAATCGACAGTTGAAGAATTAAAGATGTTCCTAGAGGTGGATTCGTTAGAGGAGATAAAGCAAAAGTTGGATAAATTCTATATGGTTATGACTCTCCGAGCTATGAATTCAGAATTTGATCATGTTAGAGATCAAATTTTAACTGGACAAGAAGTTCCTTCTATGGAAAGTTTGACTACAAGACTGCTTCGTGTTCCAACTCTCAAAGGAAAAAATAATCAAGAACTTGTTGAATCTTCTGCTATGATTTCTACCCGTGGAAGAGGAAGTCGCGACACTAGAGGAGGACGTGGAGGTAGAGGACGTCCTCAGTGCACTCATTGCAAGAGAATGGGTCATACAGTGGAAAATTGCTACTCTTTGCACGGTTTTCCTGATAAAACTGTCAATTTTTCCAAATCTGGAATGGTTGAACCCAAGTTCTCTCACGAAGAATATCAGGAATATTTGAGGTTGAAATCCAGTAATCTAGCACAGTCATCAACAACCCCAAATTCATCAACAGCTTGCATTTCACAATCTGTGGAAAGTCAAAATCCATGGATTATTGACTCAGGTGCTTCTGATCACATGTCTGGTAATGCCTCTTTGTTCTCTTCTCTCTCATTTCCTAAAACTCATCATCTCATAACCTTAGCCAACGGATCTAAAGTAGCCTCTAAAGGAACTCGGTCAAGTCTCCATTTCTCCGTCTTTAAACTTAAAATCTGTTCTTTTTGTTCCTTCATGTCCCTTCAGTCTCATTTCTCTAAGTCAATTAACCAAATTATTGAATTGTTCAAGTAACCTTTAATGCCAACTCTTTTGTTATACAGGAACGTGGTACGGGTCGACAGATTGGCGAAGGACATGAATCTGGAGGCTTATACTACCTTGGGACTAAATCATCTGTATCTTGTATTGCATCCTTGTCTCCAAAACTATTACACGAACGGTTAGGGCACCCTCACTTATCAAGATTTAAAAAAATGGTTCCTGAACTTCAGACTCTTCAAGATTTTGAATGTGAATCATGTCAACTAGGGAAACATACTAGGTCCTCTTTTCCTAAACGTTTTGAATCTAGATGTGACTCTGTCTTTTCTCTTGTTCATTCTGATATTTGGGGTCCTAGTCGTGTCTCATCCTTTGGCTATAGATATTTTGTTACCTTCATTGATGAGTTTTCTAGGTGTACTTGGATTTATCTAATGAAAGACCGTTCTGAATTATTACCTATCTTTAAGTCTTTCCTTAACGAAATCAAAAATCAATTTGGAAAAGTAATCAAAGTTTTACGAAGTGATAATGCTAAAGAATACTTTTCTACTGATTTCTCCACTCTCTTAAGCTCCCAAGGCATTTTACACCAGTCTACTTGTCCTCACACACCACAACAAAATGGTATAGCAGAACGAAAAAATAGACATTTGGTTGAAACTGCTCGTACCTTATTACTTGGTGGAAATATGCCCGTTCATCAATGGGGAGATGCTATTCTTACTGCATGTTTTCTCATTAACAGTAATGCCATCTTCTTCTCTTAACAATAAAGTTCCACACTCTATTCTATTGCCAAAGGACCCACTCTTTCATGTTTCTCCTCGTGTATTTGGTTGTGTATGTTTTGTTCATGATATGTCTCCAGGTTTAGATAAACTATCAGCTAGAGCCATCAAATGTGTCTTCTTGGGATATTCTCGTCTTCAAAAAGGATATCGATGTTATTCTCCTGAAACCAAGAGGTACTACATGTCTGTTAATGTCACTTTTTTTGAGTCAACTCCCTTCTTCCCTTCTTCTATGCAGGATATTAGTTCAGTCCAAAATGTCCTACCTATACCCTTAGTGGAGTCATTTGTACCTCCTCCTGACACCCAAAATTTCACACAAAATACACCGGAATCCTCATCACTGCCTCTTATTACCTATCAACACAGGAGCCAAATGATCAGTCCCATGTCCCAAGATGAGTCTTCCTCAGCAGATCCTTCTCAATCATCCCCTGATACCACAATTCCTGATAATGGTGACTCAAGTTGGCCCATATTTCCTATTTTTCTTTTGTTTCTTCTGTATCCACTATTACTATTCCAAAGAATGTAAAAGAGGCACTTGATCATCCTGGATGGCGACAAGCCATGATTGATGAAATGCAGGCTCTTGAGCACAATGGTACATGGAACTTAATTCCTCTTCCACATGGGAAGAAGACTGTTGGTTGTCGTTGGGTCTATGCCATTAAAGTTGGACCAAAAGGTGAAGTTGATCGACTCAAAGCTAGATTAGTAGCAAAAGGCTATACTCAGATCTATGGCCTTGACTACAGTGATACTTTTTCTCCTGTAGCCAAAATGACTATTGTTCGACTTTTCTTTGCTATGGCAGCTATCCGTCATTGGCCTCTTCATCAGTTAGATATCAAGAATGCGTTCTTGCATGGTGATCTTGAGGAGGAAATTTATATGGAGCAACCTCCTGGTTTTGTTGCTCAGGGGGAGTCTAGTTTGGTTTGTAAGTTACATCGTTCTCTTTATGGTCTCAAACAATCTCCACGTGCTTGGTTTGGAAAGTTTAGTCACATTGTTCAAAGTTTTGGATTAAAACGAAGTGAAGCAGATCATTCTGTTTTTTATTATATTGCTTCAGGAAAATGTGTTTATTTAATTGTATATGTAGATGATATAGTCATTACAGGGAATGATGTTGATAAAATTTCTTTGCCAAAGAAACATTTATGCAATCACTTCCAAACTAAGGATTTTGGTTGTCTCAAATACTTTCTAGGGATTGAAGTGGCTCAATCAAAAGAAGGCATCGTAGTCTCCCAAAGAAAGTATGCTTTAGATATCTTGAAAGAAACAGGCATGATTGATTGTAGACCAATGAACAGCCCTATGGATCCAAATCAGAAATTAATGGCAGATCAAGGTGAACCGCTCTCTGATCCTGAGAGATATAGAAGACTTGTTGGGAAACTCATTTATCTCACCATTACCAGACCTGACCTATCTTTTGCCGTTGGAGTTGTGAGTCAATTTATGCAAAATCCGCGTACTGATCATTGGAATGCCGTCGTTCACATCCTAAAATATCTCAAAAAGCTCCAGGACAAGGTCTCGTTGTATGAAGATAAAGGGGGTACCCAAATATCCGGGTATTGTGATGCTCGATTGGCTGGATCCCCTATGGATAGACGCTCCACTACAGGATATTGTGTTCTCATTGGAGGCAATATTATTTCTTGGAAAAGTAAGAAACAAAATGTAGTGGCCCGGTCTAGTGCTGAAGCTGAATATAGAGCAATGACATCTCTCACTTGTGAACTAGTGTGGGTGAAACAATTCCTTCAAGAACTGAAATTTTGTGAGATCCAACAGATGAAGATGTATTGTGACAATCAAGCAGCTCTCCACATTGCCTCTAATCCGGTGTTCCATGAAAGGACCAAACATATAGAACTTGATTGTCATTTTATTCGTGAAAAATTGTTGTCTAAAGAAATTTGCACTGAATTTGTCGGGTCCAATGATCAACTTGCAGATGTGTTGACAAAGTCTTTAAGAGGACCTCGAATTGAATTTATTTGTTCCAAGCTTGGTACATACAATTTGTATGCTCCAGCTTGAGGGGAAGTGTTAGAATTATTATTAGTTAGTGGTTAGTGGTTAGTGGTTAGTGGTTAGTGGTTAGTGGTTAGTGGTTAGTGGTTAGTGGTTAGTGGTTAGTGGTTAGTGGTTAGTAGTTAGTAGTTGGTGGTTGGTGGTTGTTAGTAGTTAGTGGTTGTTGTTTTAAATGTTGTAATCCTATATATATATATGAGATCATAGAGTGGAGTAAGCATCCCACAAAATTAGAAATCTTCTTTTCATTCTCTTTACTCTCTTAACTCTCTTAACCACTTGTGAAGTAAAATTAGCAATTTTTTCCCATTTATTTAACCAACTAGGTGGACACCGGGTGGATGATATGAGGGTGTATGTTGTACTTTTTCCTAATGTCCGTACAAAGTAAATTGGGCTTGTTCTCTGCCAACATCTGAAGCTCAAATGTCTGCAGTAGATCACTTTTAGGAGTGGTCTCTATGTTAGATATGCAGAAAGATTGGAAAGCCCTTATAACTGCAATTTTTCTTACTTTAAAAGCACTGTTTTATTTGGTCTGTGTCTTGTTAATTCCATAATTTGATCATTCCTCAATATCTTCAAATGTGAATGTTGGTTGTGTAGGGATTTCAGTTTCAGTGCTGAGTGGCTGCTTTTAGTAATCCTTGTTGATTTTTTTCGCTGAAGTTCCTTCTGGGGTTGGACATGTGTTACATAATCTGTCATTTCTCTTGTGCTACTTTCCATTATGTATCTGGTTGTACCATATTGTTATGCCAACAGTATCACTATTTTTAAATGACTGTCTCTTACATTCCAGTAAGAATTTGTGCCTTTTTTATTCTGACATTTATTGACTATCCTATAGGTTAGAGAACATGCTCGAAAACTCTTGGAGAAACACTTGAAGAAGCCATTCTTTAATGAACGGTGAGTCTTGCAGAGTATTTGTGATTTATACGATTGGTCATCTTTTTGGGCCTTGTTATTTATTTCTTTATTATTACAGCAAAAATGACCTTATTCCACTCTGTGAGTTTTGGTACATGGATTACATGACGTTGTTTGGCTCAATTAAAAAATAATTTCTCAAGAATATTATTCACCATTAGATCCCTTTCAACAGTTTTCTCCAATATCCTTAATCTCCCTCTAATACTTTACAAAGCTAAAAAACATGCAATGTACAACCCCCTCCTCCGACATTAATCAATGTTTATTTCTGCATCAAATAATAGCTTATGGTGTTGTTTTTCCACTTCCTCTGCTCTGTTCTTAATAGTCTTTATTTTCTTATCTTGATCATATTAATTTTTGTATTTTACTCCTTTTCTGCAATTAGAAATCCTATGACCTGCATTACTTTATACCTGATCATATTAATTGGTTATTAATCTAGCTTGTATATGTTGAGTTTACGTGAAGGCATTGGACATGAATGGGATATGGAATTGGAACTTTTATACTACCAGTTATTATGATTATGGATGATATCATAATGTATGCCTATGGGTTGGTGTTTATTATGATGGTAGCATCCAATAATATCACAGGGCTTTTCCATTTCTCAGTAATAAATTTCATTTTTACTTTGGTGTTACGTTGTTTTATTTTGCCAGTAGAATCAGTATTAGTTTTATGATGAAGGATTTATACTTGTCTTTATCCTCTGCATTCTGCTTTATAATAGTGCAATTTTATTTTCATTGTAAGGAGACCCTTATATTGGATTATTGGATAATTTCCATTAGTTGCAATAATTGAGATTGTTATTATGCATATATATTTGATTATCTGAATTTAATTGTTTATTTAGTTATGGTCAAAATGTTGAACGGATGGGTGTGGAGGAATTTGAACAGGGCAAGCTCTGGTTAAGTGACACTTTTTCTCTCATTAGGTAAGTCCATTACAAGGATCTCAGCTGGTAGTTGTAACTTGTGGCTTACCACATTCAATCATATGTACATTTTTAGCTTGAATGCTGTTATCTTTTATACATTTGTCAAGTTGTTTTAGTTTACTGGTATACTTTGCAGTTGTCTGTAATTGAAACGTGATTCATGCTATGATTAGTTGTGCAGTTGATTTTTTTTTTTATTTTATTTAAAATATCAAAGTGTAAATCTTTATAAATGAATGTAGAAGTGAAGCGGGTAGTGGCAAAAGTTTTAGTGCATTTGGCTCATTTATTAGAACTGAATCTTGTATTGTGGCACCGTTGAATTTATATGGGTCTTGCTAACCAGTATGTCACCGGTTGAAGAATTAGGAGAAAAGTTTTATTGAATATTATATGATAGTGCATTAAAAAAAGTTCATAGGGGAGTGCATTTTTTTGCGTCCTAATAAGAAATTTCTCCTTTTAATTCCTTAACTGGTGACCTTCAGGCACTGGTTAGCGTTTGCCAATTTGGTCTCTTAATAGTTGGTATTGAGGAGTTGTGGTGGTATTGTCCATCAATGTACCTGATGTTGGTAGCCACAACTTACATGATGTAAGCACATGAAATGATTGGACTGAGATTTTAATCTTTGTTAGGTACCAATGGTGGTGATGCATAAATTTTCAGGTCTCATAGAAATGAATGGCGAAGGATCCTAATATGAACCTTTTGATCTTGGCTATATATTTGAATTATGTCAAATTTCTTGCTTTAATAGTTATTTTTAATAGACTATCTAATACATAGCTACATTTCTTAAACTGATGAAATTTAGTGCTGAGCCACTTGGTTGTTGATACTAGGTGTGAAGATGACTCCCTTCCAAATATAAGGTGGGTCCTTGACCTTGCCAAAGCTGCTGTATTAAGGCACGGGGTGCGCGGACTTGTAATTGATCCTTACAATGAGCTCGATCATCAACGACCTTCAAACCAGTAATTTTCTTAAAAGAGCTTATTCCAAGTTTGGATTTTGTTCAAGTTGTACTTGAACTCTTTAAAATGCTGGGAATTTCTGGAGAGAATTCCTTTTATACCCTTTGAATATATATTAGAAATTACAGAAGGAGAAATATACTTGAATGTTGTTTGTTGTATATCAACGCATGCATATAATTTATAATCACATAAATCGATCTTTCCAAGAACATGCTGTGTCACAAATTATTCTTTCTGTTGCCAGCTCCACTATTATTGTCTAGATAATGGATGGTTAATTGAGGTTAATCTATTTCTTGCAAAAACTTGCAGAACTGAAACAGAATATGTGAGTCAGATGCTTACCTTAATCAAACGTTTTGCCCAACATCATGGATGCCATGTTTGGTTTGTAGCACATCCTAGGCAGGTTGGTTACAAACAGCTTTGGTTTCATCACTTGTTATTTTACCCTATCTGATATTCTTCTCATTTCATAGCTGCATAATTGGGTTGGGGGTCCTCCTAATCTCTATGATATAAGTGGAAGTGCACACTTCATAAATAAGTGTGACAATGGAATTGTTATTCACCGAAATCGGGATCCTGAAGCTGGGCCTATGGACCAAGTACAGGTGAGTGATTGCAGCATAATTGTGCTTATTTTTGTATCATAATAAACAAAATACACTGACTTTGGCTTGTCTCAGGTATGTGTTCGAAAGGTACGGAACAAGGTGGCAGGCACAATAGGTGAAGCCATATTGTGGTATAATAGGTAAATATATTTTGCCTAGACTACTGTGTTAACATAAATTCACCTATTTTTTAATTAGTAGAGTTTCATTATACTGGAGTACATGATCGGGGATTATGATGAAACTTATCGTAATCTCTTCACTCCTAGTGTGAATATAATGGATAGAGCTGGCTCTCTTGCTAAATATTTTATCCTCATAAACCCTTAAGACTGTGCTACTCCAGTGAAGCACTCTAAACTAGAAAAGTTAGTTCACACCAACAGATAACGAATTTTCTTTGGCAAATGACAGGACAACTGGTGAGTATACACCATTAGATAACAAGAGATCAATTGATAGAAGGAACTAGCAGTGAGACAAATGATTTTTCAGTAGGCTTGTATAATGGTCAACAACAACTACGTCTTACAATGAAGTTAACATCTGATACTCGGATCGTGTCTAAACATGATCATAATGTTTTCATTGGGGTGCCAGGTCGAGATCAACAATGCTGAATAGCATCTTAACATGGTCGGTTGTAGAATATCATTGTTTTGGCTTCATTATTTGAAAATTTTGTATCCTATAGCTGTCCTTTTATACTCGTTACGATCACATCTTGATTTTATTTTCAATTATTGCATCTTAATCCTCTTGTATAGTGATAGAGAGATTTCTTTGTCGGATACCCTATTCTACTAGACTTGTCTTTAGTAAACACTCATTCTAATTCTTGATGCTATAAATTGTTATTTACTTTGGTCCTTTTCTATTCTATAAATTGTGATAATAGATTATGTGCAAATGATAAAAAAAATTAACTGAAATAGATTTTATTAAATCAGAGAGAAATGTAATTAACATTTACAATTTCAGAAACTAAATTGAGGATTTACTCGGTGAAGGGTAATACATAGTGACCCAATATTTATATAATTATTTCTTTTTAGAATCTTGATAGAATCAAATCAGAAATAGTAGCTTGAACAGAATCAAAGTGAACATTAAGAAGAAATTGGTAAAATAGCTATGTACATGCATACTCCAAATGTACCAATAAAAGGAAAAATAATCTGATTATTATATGATTATTCAGATCCTCTCCAGTGAGAATGTTTTATTAAAATAAAAATGTTTAACCAAAATAATAAGGAAGATGATTTCATAATCTACTCTTAGATCTCATAATCTACTCTTAACTCAAGGAACAATTATGTAACACATTTCTAACATATTTCCAACAAGTAATTGATGGCTAGAAGAATATTGGTCATATATATATTTAAGATTTTAAACACAAGAACAATTTTTTTTTCTAAACCAAGTAGTAGCAAAAGGAGAAAAGTAAGAAAGAAAGAAAGAAAAAAATCTTCCAGCTCCAATGATTGACTATTTCCCAAAACTAATGTGAACTAATAATTCCAAACTGGAATTTGATAATTGGGGTACAATAATTCAGAGTAAAATATTATTAAATTTTTATTTCGTCTGAAAATATTAAAGTATTGTTTTCTTAAAGAAATGAATTCTATGAACGTGAGATTGATGGACAAGTGTAACACATGTTACTGTTTGTCGTGTGGTTGCCAACTAAGAAAAGTGTCAAGAGAGAAGTCAAACAAATTTGCTAATAGCTAATCATAAGGTATCGCGTTGCAATGTCATAAACTCTTCTCTTTTAAAAATAATAATAGTAAAACAGACATATTATATTACTTGTATAAACTTATTTTCTTCTTCTCCATTGTGAGTGAAAACTACAGTTTATAATTAACTCTAATTTGCTTTCTAGTCCTTGCAAAAATGCCTATTTGTTTATATTTTAATGTAATTTTTCTATTATATATATCAAGAGCTTTTCATTTAATAAATATTTTATTTGATAATTTTTATACAATGATTTTTTTTTCAATGAACATCTTCTATTTATCGCTTGGTAACATATTCGTCACGCGTTTTTTTTTTCATAACACTGATATTATACCAACGGATTAGAAAAAGTGGACGTGGCATGAAAAGTGATGGAAAATTATAGCTATTGGTTGTTATGCTTTAAAAAATTAGATATTTTTATTTGTTAATATGTTTTGGTAAAAATGAATTCTTTAATTTTTGGTATATATTTCATATAATAAACTTGAAAGAACGACAATTAAGTGATGAAATGACAAGGTTTTTCAGGTGAATTCAACAATTTGTTGCTGTCACCATCAAAACCATTGGAAAGTTTTAAAATTTAAAGAGAATAAACTAATTTTGTGTATATATATAGCAAAACAAAACAACTATTACACTATTTTAGAAATTCCTTGTTGAACTTCTTCATGGCTTATCACAAATCCAATAAAGTTCTTTATTTTATTTTGTTCACTTTAAAAAAAGTGTTAAAGTTAAAAAAAAATTGTTCTATGATTGAAATTTTTTCATAAATTAAAAGCAATCCATTCAATATAACTATTTCAAAAGAGAGGTGAATGAATGTGTCTCAAAACACATGAGTATTTTTTAACGGAGAAAAGGAAAGAAACTTACAAAAAGTGTTAACCTTTTGATTTTAAATTTATGGAGTCATAAAAACCTCAAAAGAAAATATAAACCACTGAAACGTTAAATGATAATCATAATTACTCATTCAATTCATTTTAAATTTTATCTTTTAAAATGTTCTATTCTATTATATTGTATTGTGTAGGAAAAATTTATTGATTTTTTATACTACTTCAACAAATGTATTTAATCTAATCTGATATACAAATGAAATTCTACAAAATGCAGTTTTGAGGAAAGAAAAGAAGGAGGGACAAAAAGCAAAAAAGAAAGAGTATGATTGTGACTTGTGTCTGTGTCTCCATGGCAGCATTGGTTGGTTAAGTTAAAGGAGTGATGGTGGGGCCAAATTGATGGCATCACGCCTGAATGTGCTGGCTTCCAGAGCAGCATAACTCTCGGGAAAAAGAATTCCTAACGGCTCCTCTGCGTTGGATCCACCTATGTGACCGTTGCTGCCCTCAAACCCCTTTTCCTACCTTTCAAATTACTATATATTACCCTCGCAACTCTCTCTCCTTCCTATTCATAGCATACACATTCAGACACCTGTTTTTAGCTTCTATATTTTGGTTCATAACTCAGGTTTGTGGTTGTTTTCTTAATAATAGATCTTTCATTTGCCCTTTTTATTGGGATTGTCTCAATTTTCAATCTCGGTCTCTCTCAAGTTTTCATTTTGTTTTTAGTTGTAACCATGACTGCTGAGGTTATGGCTCAAGAGGAGACCCAAACAGCTGAGGTTGTTGCTGTTTCTGAGCCCCAGAAAGAGAAGGTTGGTGGAGAAAATGTGGAACAAAAGGAATCATCTTTCGATGAAAACAAGCCCAGAACGGTGGAGAAAAGCTCTTCTTACAAGGAAGAAAGCAACTTCCTTTCTGATCTCAAAGAGTTTGAAAGGAAGGCTTTGAATGAATTTAAGGCTAAGCTTGAGGAAGCTATCTTGGGGAACACACTTTTTGAGAAAGAAGAGCCAAAGAAGGAGGCTTCTGCCGAGAATGAGGCTGAAGAGAAGGAGGAGGGGAAAAGTGTTGAGGTTGAGGAGAAGGGTTTGTGTCTTTGGGATGTGCCCCTTTTGCCAAGCAAGGGAGCGGAAGGTGTTGATGTGGTTCTGTTGAAGTTTTTGAGGGCTAGGGAGTTCAAAGTAAGCGATGCATTTGAGATGCTGAAGAAGACCCTCAAGTGGAGGAAGGAATCAAAGATCGATTCTTTGGTGGATGAAGATTTTGGCTCTGACTTGGCCTCTGCAGCGTACATGAATGGAGTTGATCATGAGGGGCACCCTGTATGCTACAACATCTTTGGCGCATTTGAGAGTGAGGAGCTTTATCAGAAGACTTTTGGGACTGAGGAGAGGCGTAGTGAGTTCTTGAGATGGAGGAGCCAGATGATGGAGAAGGGTATTCAGAAGCTCAATTTGAAGCCAGGTGGCGTGTCTTCCTTGCTTCAAATCAATGACCTTAAGAATTCCCCTGGTCCTTCAAAAAAGGAGCTTAGAATTGCTACAAAGCAAACTGTTGCAATGTTACAAGACAATTATCCAGAAATGGTGGCAAAAAATGTAAGTTCTTCGGCCTTTTTCCCTTTTTGAATTGTTTATTTCAGCTACATTGGTCCAAATATGCTGTTATTTTGATGTTTAAGGTATTTATGAATGTGATTCTGTTTCATTGTAGATTTTCATCAATGTTCCTTTCTGGTATTATGCTCTTAATGCCCTCTTATCTCCCTTCTTAACGCAAAGAACAAAGAGCAAAATTGTGGTTGCTCGTCCTAACAAGGTCACTGAAACATTGAACAAGTATGTTCCCATCCCATCCATTAAATTGACCATTTTTGTTCATTGCATATTTCAAATTGCATCCCGTTAATGATCTTAATTTCTTTGTATTCAAAAGGTACATTCCAATTGAGGAGATCCCAGTTGAATATGGTGGTTTCAAGAGGGAAAATGACGCTGAGTTCTCTTCCCAAGATGGTGCTGTTTCAGAACTCATTCTCAAGGCTGGATCAACTGCAACCATTGACATACCTGTATTAGAGGTACCAACTAAGTTTTATGTATTACTACAAGGACAAAACATAGATACAATTTCATATAGGTGCTTTGCTTTTGGTTTGTAACGGAAATTGAAGTTTTAAAGTAAACTTGTACATTTATGAGTTATTGAAGTAAAACAACAATTATGAACAGAAAACGATAGCAAAGCATCTAAGGAACTTTTACCAAAACTTGTCATTATTATTCATTTACTAGACTAAAGGGTGGTTGCATCTCAACAGGTTGGACACAAAGTGTGCTGGGATTTGACTGTTCTGGGTTGGGAGGTAAGTTACAAGGAGGAATTTGTTCCCAGCGATGAGGGCTCTTACACAGTTATTGTTCAAAAAGGAAAGAAAATGGGGTCACAAGAAGGGCCTGTTAGGAACACTTTTAGGAACAATGAAGCAGGGAAAGTTGTCCTCACTATAGAGAACAATTCAAACAAGAAGAAGAGGGTACTGTACCGTTACAAGACGGACAAGAGCTCCTTCTGAGATCACAATTCAGAACTTGTATTTTTGTTAAACTGTGTTTTACTTGAAGGTGAGTAGTTGTGTGAGAGTGACAGAAAAAAATCAGAGTTATTCTTTCATTGTTATTGATTGTTTCATATATCATATTTTTGCCTGAAGAGTGAAATTTATTTAAAGTTCATTCGTTTTCTGTGACAATAATGTATCTAATATTTTGATGTAAATGATTCTCTTTCTGGGGTTCTCTTGAAGAATTTTCAAGAGTGTGTCTGCTTCAATTTTAGCTTGAGCATTTTTTTTTAATTTTAGTAATACTTTGATGTAAACTTTAGGAAAAGAAACAAATAATATTCATATTTTCCCAAAGTTTAAATCATTTGTCATGTAAAAAAAAAACATTTAAGCGTTTTATACCAATTTAGTTTTTGACACTGTTAACTTTTTTTTATAATATATATTTCCAAAAATAACCGTTTTACAGTTATATATATATATATATATTAATATATAAAATACAAAATTTAGATGAAAACATGAATATTGTCTTTGTATAGCAAAAGCTTGGGCACAAAATTTGAATCTTTTGAAATTGTATGTATCGTTTAGATCATTTTTCACAAATTAATCACCACGTTTGTCTTCAAAGGCAAAAAAAATAAAATAATAATAAAAATATATTGATTTTCAAATGCTTATGAGTTTCCTAGAATCTAACCTATGACTATATTTATCTCTAATAATATTTAAATTGTGACATTAATAAATATTGAGAAACAAATTTGATGGTAATTTACGTTTTTAAGATTAATTTTATCTTTAAAAGATGTTTATTTAGAATTTGACCCGTCCTTTTCATGTGAAACATTTTCTAAGATTTGAAGTGAACTTGAAAAATACTCACATAATCCGAGAAACCCAATGATCACGGGAATGCGTTTGGGCCCATAACATTGATGAAGCACCAGTAAACATATTTAATGTTCTCAGAATCCAACGAGTTTGGTTTGGGTAGACATGAATTCAATCCGTGACTAAATCAATAAAGATCCAAGTTTAAGATCAAACAATTTAATTCAAATTTCAACAAGACTTAAACTGTTTTTAATAAAATATTAATATCATCATTTTTTTAATATAATGATATAATATATAAAGTAGTATCAATAATATATATATATATATATATATAAAAATTTAAATTTAAATTTCATTTAAAAAGTTTAAAAATATATTTTTTAAAAACATAAAAAAATAATGTGTTATGATGAGTGAATGAAAAAAAAAGACTTACACCTTATATATAAAAGAGAAAAAAAGAAATTTAATAAATATTTAAAAATAAAATGAAATTAAATATAAAAAGGTAGAAATAATTAAAAAATATAATAGTGACATTATAAATTTCTGAGCGTCTTTCCATATTTTTTATTATAGTTTTATAAACTAGTATTTTTATTTATAATTTAAGATGAGAAAGAAAATGAAAAAAATGTAATTAAAGATATTTTAAGGAGAATAATAAAATTAAAGACGTTAGAAAAATGGCATATTTTTATTAATTAATTTATTAATTATATTCGAAAAAAATGAAAAAAAAATTATAAGAGAGAAGATAAAAAATTATGATAAATAAAATATTACTAAACAATATTAATATGATTGCGTTAATGAATAAAAATAAAATAACATTAGGTCGAGAGTTTAAAGAAATTCATCTTGTTATTGACACCATATGATTAAAACAATTTAAATATACCCATGTGAAACTCACATCTAAAATATTAAAAACAATTAATTAAGAAAGTTAAGATAGTGATATATATTTTCAAAACTCTCACAAAGTGAAATGAATATTTAATGCATAGAAAAATATTAAAAAGACAAATTTTTAACGTAATTGCTTAGAAAATTTGTATTATTGATTAGATTTTATTTTAAAATATTTAAAAAAATCCACTTCTTATTTAATTAGTCTTTCATAATTTTAAATTTTTTTTTAAACTTTATCTAGTTGTAAAAACGTGTGTTAAAAGAGTTTTATTAAACTATATCTATTCCTAACACTTCTCTTGACATGCAACTTGAAAGATAACTTAAATATATAGAAATAAAAATAGCCAGAATGAGGCATGCGACTATGACATTAAGGTAATAATACAGTTTGTTTAATTAAGTAAACTTTGGTAATTAACAACATAAAAGCGTAAACAAATTCAAACACGTACTCACTTTCAATACACATCAAAATTCAACTCTCCAAACCTTATTTCTGTTCTGTAAGAAATAAATAAAATAGGAGAAACAAAATGTTATTTGACCTCGAAATTCGTTGCATTCTCAGAAATTCCACCCCTTGATTTCAATAAAAAGATATTATATTTGATAATCGACTCAGATCGTAACTGGTAAACTAAATTATAATAGGGAAAAGTTACGTAATACTCATCCCTATGATTAGTTTAAGTCATTTTTTCTACGATAGCTATCCATAGAAAAAACAAGAAGATAGAAAAACAGAGACATTTGAAATTTGTTTAAGTTTAGGAAGAGTTGTGAAATATTCTGATAGAGATTTGATTCAAAAGGAAGGTGATTGGTATGAGGTGAAAATGATGATTCTTCAATGATTCATATTACGCTTACTTCAGTTAAACACTACCTAATATATTAAATTAAGATCAATTAAGCCATGTTATTTTTATGCTTTTTTAAAAGGAATTGTCTCAACTAATTTTTGCTGAAACTTTTTATGTTTTTTTCCTATTTTTAAATGTAATGATCGTGATAATATTATTTATATATAGACGAATTTTTTTATTTGTTTTTAGAATAAAAATTAGAAATTTATCTTTCCTTTTTATTATAGCTCTTCAATAAATATAACTGTAATTAAATCGATATTCATTTCAAATATAACAATTATTGATTATTAAGAGGCAACACTTTTACTTCACGTTTTTAGATATTTTATTTTAAGTACGTATTTTTATATTATATTATAATAAAAAAATTAATGGTAAAATTCCATCAGATTAACATCTATACATTTTTTATTTATTTCAATTTTATACAATTTAAACATTAGTTTAATAATTATATCAACATTTTTTTATTCCTAAAGCTTAAGATTTTACTATATCAAAAGTTTAAATTTATAAGATCATAACTTAATGAGATTTCTTATATTTAAATTTTAAATCCTTTCCTGTATTTGAAAATGTTCTAAAACATCAACATTTTAAAGGTCCTATGTACTAGACATCAGGACCATTTACATCACTTAATCATTTTTAACTTCTAACAAAATTTCGACTCTCGAAACTCATAATTTCTTTCATCTGTAGAGTAGAACCTTTAATTAGTCAGTAAAAAGAAACGAATAAAAGAACTTAAATATAATTATATACGAAAATTTTGACGTCTTTGATTTCGTAAGATATATTTCAGAAATAAAAATATGCACAATTATAATTTGCAAGGTCAAAGAATGATTGAGTTACGTTATCTACTTCGTATATGTGGAAATTTTTTGGTCAGCTAGGGAGGTAACCTAAACCATCTTCTCATTTGTCTTTGACAAGTTCTTCCTCCAAGGCTTCCACTCTATAAAACCCAATGCAGATCTTGCTCAACAGATTCACTAAAAAATCATCTTTGTTTGTTATTCTAACACCACAATTGTGAATTTGTGAAAGTTAACAATGGAACTCCTTTCTCCTCGTAGAATACAACTATCCATATTTCCCATTGTTGTGTTGCTTTCTACAATTGCATGGTCAGCTTCAGCTGCAAATTCAGCTAACAACACTTTTCTCCATTGCCTTATAAACCATTCAGATCCCTCTCACCCCATAACTCCAGCAATTTTTACACCAAACAACGCCTCATTCTCTTCAGTCTTGGACGCATACGTCAGAAACCTTCGTTTCAACACCTCCACAACCCGGAAGCCATTCCTTATAATAACTGCATTGCATGCATCCCATATACAAGCATCTATTATTTGTGCTCAGACGTACAAGTTGCAAATGAAAATTCGAAGTGGAGGCCATAACTACGAAGGTGTGTCCTACGTGGCTGAGGTCCCCTTCTTCATCCTTGACATGTTCAATCTTCGAACCATTGAGGTTGACATAGCCAATGAGACCGCTTGGGTCGAAGCTGGTGCAACGCTTGGTGAGGTTTATTACGGAATTGCTAATAAGAGCAAAATTCATGGTTTTCCAGCAGGGGTTTGTCCCACTGTTGGGGTAGGAGGCCACATAAGTGGTGGTGGGTATGGCAATATGATGAGAAAATACGGTCTCTCAGTGGATAATGTTGTTGATGCACAAATGGTTGACGTTCAAGGTAGATTGCTTGATAGAAAATCTATGGGTGAAGATCTCTTTTGGGCCATCACAGGTGGTGGTGGATCTAGCTTTGGTGTGGTCCTTGCCTACAAATTAAAGCTAGTTCGAGTTCCTGAAATAGTCACTGTTTTCCAAGTTAGTAGGACCTTGGAGCAAAACGCCACCGATATTGTCTATAGCTGGCAGCATGTTGCACCAACTATCGACAACAACCTTTTCATTAGACTTATCTTGGACGTTGTAAACGGTACACAAAATGGAACAAAGACTGTAAGAGCTTCTTTCGTAGCTCAGTACCTCGGTGACTCCAAAAGCCTTGTTTCTCTCTTGAATGAGAAGTTCCCTCTATTGGGTTTGAAGCAATCTGACTGCATCGAGACAAGCTGGCTTCGTTCGGTGTTATTTTGGACAAACATCAACATTACAACGCCTGTTGAGGTTTTGCTTGATAGACAACCACAATCGCACGTCAACTTCTTGAAAAGGAAATCTGACTATGTACAGAAACCAATTTCCAAAGAGGGTTTTAAAGGGATTTGGGAGAAGATGATCGAGTTAGAGGACACACTGTTTCAATTCAATCCTTATGGTGGAAGAATGGCTGAGATTCCATCAACAGAAAAACCTTTCCCTCATCGAGCAGGAAACCTATGGAAGCTTCAATACCAA